AGCACGGGCTTCTTAAGGAATAAACATGTAGTTCGTGTGTAGAAACATCGGTTTCTTCAGGAATAAACCTGCAGTTCTTTTCGAGAAACACCAGCTTCTGCAGGTATAAACATGAAATTCTTGTGAAGAAGCATGAGTTACTTACGAAGTAAACATTAAATTCTTGTGTAGAAACATTCTTCGCGAATAAACAAGCTGTTCTATTGGAGAAACATTGGTTTTCTTTAACAAAAGAAATGCAGTTCTTTTCGAGAAATACCATTTCTGTAGGAATAAACATCATATTCTTGTAGAGAAACATTGGTTTGGTGTGCAAACGTTTAAACTAAAGAAACATCTCTTCGTTCATGAATCAACATGAAATTCTTCTGCGGAAGCATGGATTTCTTCAGGAATAAACATGAAATTGTTGTAGAAACATCGCTTTTTTCTGGAATATAAAGATGAAATACTTGAGAAGAAACAGGGTTTCCTCACGAATAAAGCTAAAGTTCGTGTGTAGAAATATCGGTTTATTGAGGAATACTCATGCAGTTCTTTTCGTGAAACATCAGTTTCTACGGGAATAAACATTTTATTCTTGTGCAGAGCATCGGTTTCTTCAGGAATAAACATGCAGTTCTTGTGGAGAAACAACGGTTATTTCACGAATAAATATGAAGTTATTTTCGAGAAACCTCACTTTCTGCAAGAATAAACATAGAATTCTTGTGCAGAAACATCGGTTTCTTCGCAAAACACATGTTGTGTTTTTGCAGAAACATTGGCCTTCTTCCGGGATAAACACAAAATTCTTGTGAAGAAACATCGGATTCTTCAGGAATGAAAATGTAGTTCTTCTCGAGAGACATCACCCTTTAAGGAATAAACATGTGTAGAAACACACAAGAACAAACATTAAATTCGAGTATCAAAATATCGCTTTCTTTAGGAATAAACTTGAACTTCTTGAGAAGAAATATCGCTCCATGTAATTCTTCATCGAGTAGACATCGGTCTCTTCACAAATAAACAAGCAGTGCGTCTGGAGAAAAATCGGGAAAGAAAAAAAAACGTTTCTTTAGGAATAACCATGAAATTTCTGAGGAGAAACATCGGTTTCTTCAGGAAAACACGTCAAGTTCTTGTGGGGAAACCTCGGTTTCTAAAGTTATAAACACGGGTTTCTTGTGGAATAAGATCGCTTTCTTCAGGAATATATTCGTGAAGAAACTGTTGCTAGTAGTTGGTGCCATGGTTCTCCGATCAGGAACATCGCAGAAAGTTCATTCGTTTTCTGGTAGAAAGAGCAAAGCCTGAACTTCGAAAAACAAACGAAACAGAATTTTTGGGATTGGCTTTGAGGAAGAAAAAAGTACAATATCAAATGTACTGCAGGTTAAGACAAATTGTATCTCATCTAGTTAAAAGGACATTTTCCAACTACTAGTCTAGATGACAACTAGTAGTGCATCGCACGATTACAGACAAAATGTATTTAGATTTTTCCCGTAGGTAATTTTCTTTGGATGCTCGACATATAAATGAGTTATTCAACATACAGAGGATTGTAAATTAAATACTATTCAATGAACTATATGAAATAAATTTATTAGTCTATGTTGGTATCATGTAAAAAGGTGTGAAGAAGAAAATTCTCAAGTAATGACGAAGAAAATACTTTTTTTTCTTTTTTCTCTTGTTAGCAAGATTTTACAACTAGGGGTGTTAATTTAGTTTTATTCTTCATTTATAATAGTATTTTATTTTACATCTCTAATCATCTTATTTATAAGTAAGATAACTAGAGGTGTAAAATTAGGTGAATTAACACCAAAAAATCTGAGTATTAATAAACACGTGAAAACGAGGCGTGTTTATTCTTTCAAACACTCATTGAAACTTTTGCCTTCAAATCTAGTCACTGTTTCTCACATGTATTTAACTCAACATTTAGATAGAAAAATAAAGATACAACAAGAGTGGTCTATGGATATGACTGTTGTGAGTGTGATGGAATGTATGTTAGTCACACTTGTCGAGGAATCTGTAAACATATCAATGTTTTATTTTCAACAAAAGACAGCCCTGATTTGAAGTTATGCATCGATGCCCTGAAAGTTATGCATCGATAGTGTCATCCTCTCCATCTTCCATAATGCATTAAAAGAAATGAACGTCATTTATTAAATTATTCTTTTGTCTATTCAAGTTGAAGAAAAAAAATTGTGTGGACTCTGCACCGTATAACGTTTGTTCATGACTTGTATGAGAGAAGCTTTTTCTAACTGAAAATTAGGACTGGCTTTTGTTGAAAGAAAACATTGATACTTTGAAAGACGATTGACTTATTGACAAAACATCAGGTAACGCACAGATACGACTTTAAGAAAAATTTCTAAATCTAAAATATTATTTCGTATATGGAAATATTACTTCAGAATATCAACATAATGATATTCATTTGTATTTCAAGCAGCCACCACTGTTTTCATGTTAATGTTTTCACTAGTGTTTATAAGGTTCAGCTACATCAAAATTCAAGTGAATTTTATTTTTTCGATTTTAATACATATTCTGGTTCGTCTTTGGACGCGGATTCCGAATAATACATTCCAAACTTCAAAAATCCTTTTCTTCGTGGGAAAAATCGCGAAATATTGAGAGCTTGTCATAAACTGAAAAAAACGACCTCTATCGAAAGATTCAAATTTTGAAGTTGTGTTACATGGATGGAACTTTGAAACTTATTTTTTTGGAATCAGCGTTCAAAACTGATATCGAAAAAGTTTTTCAGAGCATTCCACCGATAAAAGTAGGTGCACCATGGGCGGTCCAAACCGATCGAGGTCGATGAGGTGTGACTAGTTTTGTAAATCCTACTAGTTTTTGGATGAAGGGCTGGACCTTTGATTCTTCCGTCATTCGATCCGCCTTGAAGCGTAGCACAAAACTATGGAGAGTTTCTTTTTTTAAATATTTTCGTTGCAGAGATTTTCGACTTTTACTGGAACCGGTCGGAAACGCGGTTAAGATCGATCAGATGATTTTCGAATAAAACGGATAGTTTTGAGCCAACAGAGCTGAAATTTTGAATTTCTAAGTAAAAAATAACGACAAATCTAATGAAGGCATTTACAGGATCTCCAAAGTATTCCTAGAGGGTCTTTGAAGGTTTTCTGGAAAATCTCTTCCCAATGACACGTTTGTGCCAAAACGAAGGTCGTAGGTTCTAAAATAGTTGGCAGGTAAAGGTATTCAGCTCAATAAACTCCTTCTCTTTTAATCAGAATCAAATGACACTGGAAAGAGATCAAAAATAGATAAAGAAAAACATACGAAATCACAAACTAATCACGCCAGCTATTCAATCATCTTTTAATGCCGTATTACTTACTTATACGAGTATGTTTTTGTATTGTTCCACTAGCTAAGTTACTGAAAAAGAGTCGTAAGACTTGTTCATAGGTTTGTCCACTTTTGTAAGCTGCTAAAGAACGCCAAAAACGTCGAAACAGTTTCAGATGTAATTGTTTATCTTTGAAATTAATACGAGATTCGGACATCGAACGAACTACAGTTTCATATGTCTGATCCGTACGTGATCTTATAAATTGTTTCTGACTGCACCACAAGCCTTCAATTGCGTTCAGCTCTGAGTGAAACTTCGGACAGAAAATAACTTTCACTCCATATCTTTCATCTAGCTGTTCCAAACGTGAAGTCTAAGAGCGAAAAGACTTACAAGGGATAAGCATTAGTCTGATAGCCTATGTACCATCTGTTTATGAGATTCCTAGAACTCAGGTTTGGCCGACAGGTGAGTTTTCGAGGATTGCCTCTAGCATCCGAACTATGATAGATGGGGGTGTGGGACGTGTGCCAGGTTGTAGAACGATATCTGCGCTGTGTCTACATTTGTTCGGAGCAATATCTCGCTATGTGGATTTTTGGAATGACAGGCTGTGACTTTTGCTTCTACAGGTACACCATGGTCGAGCTGCCGGATAAGAGTGTTATGTGAGGGTTGTCCAAAAAACATCCGACTGCTCAATATTTTGAAATGGATAGTATTAAGTCTTTTTCTCGCAAAACAGCTTTGTAAAAAAATCTTCTTCTTCCAATTTTCTTGGTAACGCTTCTGCTTTCGAGCCGCAGTGAGCTTTGTCTGAAGTAAGTGTTTTACAAATCGGTGAATACGAGATAAATGTATTTTATGCTGAAATAATCTAAATTAAAAAACGCATAATTCCTGACAGTTTTGTCCTGAAATTCCCTCAAAAACTTCGTGTTTTTGTCTTCTGCGTTTTATTCCAAATGAAGTAGTCAGCAATAAGAACTATGCAAGTCTATCTCGGACTGCAAGTTATAGCTGAAACAAACAACTTTCAATGGGTCTATGTATGTGTTAATATGAGGCACCTTCAAAATTACATAAGATACTCCATGATCATCACTTTCGTTCTTTCGTTGTATACTTTTTTCTTGTAGCATGATCAGTCATGCAATATTAGTAGTGATTAACGATTTTGTTTGATCCATGTTATTCAATCATGCTCGTCAACCGTTAGCCGTTTTTCATGAGCGGTTTTAGTGAATTACAACATTGAAAAAGACAACAAGATAGTACTTTAAGATCATACTTTAATCAAATCCATTCGACAACATCATACAGATTACCCGAAACATCATAGATGCGCAAAATGTTAGAAACAATTATTGTTCCACTAGTAAGCCTTTTTATTCTACTACACGTCAGTCAACAGCAGCAATCATTAATACGGCAAGCTTATTTTAACATCATACCAAATAGTGAATATTATTCCACTAATTTTATCAAAACTCTTTCATTTGTCTCGGATATACTCGAATGTACAACGAAATGTTTTTCTTATTCATCTTGTCAAACTGCTGGATATTATCCCAATGAACTAAAATGTTCGTTGTACAGTGATTCCCTAGATAATGGAACAATTTCATTTGCAATAAATGTTGAGACCATTTATTTATCAATCGAGACCATGAAAACAAGCTCCACAGATCCAACAGCAGCGTCGACAAGTGGTTTGTATCAACTCAGTTTGCTAATAGCGACTAATACTGTCCATTAAAATATGTTTTAGCCACTATTGAAACAACAATCGCGATGACATCTGATGCTCCATCAAGTGCAATAACAACAACGAACGTTTTTGTATCTACTACGTCAACAATATCGACAGGTACTATAAATATGCATATAGCACTTAGAACACAAGTTCATGTACAAGTCAACACAATTCTAAACTCATCTGGATAGTTTGCTGGTTTTGGGGATATGAAGACATTTAAAATAGGAAAATTTCTGTGACCTTTGAATCGTGTTCTTATCTCATACCCACCTTTCCTGTTTTTCAGTTATTTCCACAGCAACAACAACCAATGCTTTATCAGGTGTAATAACAACAACGGATGCTTTTACATCTGCTATATCAACAACATCGACAGGTACTATAAATATGCATATAGCAGTTAGATCACATAGTGAGTATATAGGCGGACATTTGGCCAAAAAGCGAAAGTGAGCTGTTTTAGGATTTGAATAGAGTCAAAAGTACTTCATTAAATGCGCTATCGAATGGCGCAAAAATTATTAGTCTAAAGTCTAAAACGTTTCGTTACGGAAATATTCGTATACTATCTCATACCTACCTTTCCTGTTTTGCAGTTATTTCCACAGCAACAACAACCAGTGCTCCAACTAGTGCAATAACAACTACAGGTATAATAAAATACGTATTTTGTTCTTATAATGTCAAAATTTACTTCTTTATTTTGAAAAAAGATTTGAAGCCAAATGCATCAAATATAACATGGTTAATGTCAACATTTGCAGCAGCAAATCAAACAACAATAAGCTTATCTAGTCCAACATTTATGGATATTGATGATCAAAATAATCTTGTTGTACTTGGTTATTATGGTAATTTATTTCAAATGAATAGAACAACAATGAGCGTCATTCGTTCATCAAACTTAGGAATTGATTCAGCGGCATTTACTTATTCTAATGGTTATTATTTTATAGGTATAAAAGTAAACAGGGACGCTTTTGGCATTTTGTTTCTTATGCGCTTTATTTGTAGAATTCGAGGGCTCATATCCTTTAATTTACATTTATTCTACTCGAAATCTAACAAATTTTATTGCATTTATAAATGGTACAGCATCGAATTGTTATTTTCGTCAAGTGGCATTTTTACAAAATAATACCATTATGGTTGCAACTGTTGAAGCCTTAAATACGATTCAGTTTTATCAAATATCATTTTCGTCGTTTTCCACAACACTTTTATTTTCAATACCAGCATTGCACTCTGCTCCATACAGTTTATATAAAGTGAACGATATATTCTTGTATTTAGTACATTACAGTACTGCAACACCCATCTACATTCTATCATATAACAATAGTAACAATTGGACATTAAGAGCACTGAACGCCACAAAGCCAGCAGCTTCGGAAACATCAGCACAAATGACAATTGATCCATATGGACGAATTTGGTTAGCTATCCATAACTTTGGTGTGAGAGTATTTGATTCCACTGCATCTGTCTTACTCTATAGCTGGCCCATCTCAACTGGATTGGGTGGGATACTGTTAATGGATAATTACGAGTTGTTTTTAGCTGACTATGACAACAACAAAATATATCGTTATAAACCAAACATAAACTAGTAGTAAATAACACTTATGTAAATAAAATGAATCATAAGTATGGTTTGTTTCGTGCTCAGTGATAGAATTGAAGATCAGACAGGTTTATCAGCTCGAAGTTTCGAGAAAATCATGGGTTTTGAGTACTATTTTTCCGAAAAATTTACGTGTATTATTTATCACCCACAAAATATTGCTGGTGGTAGTTTATTGAAACAGTGCGGAATATATTCTGAAAGCAATCCTTAAAGAGCGCGTTTCTTGAAATTTAGAAAATTGCAATTACAGTTCTGCAACATGCACTTTTAAGGGTCAAGAACAGCAGCTACTTAGGGGTATCCAAAAGTAATGTCGTCCCTATCTTATTTCCTTATTAATTGATAAGTGCAAAATTAAGAAATGTTGATGACAATGTGCAGATACTTTCTTTTTACCATCGTGAGCACAATAGCGATGCTATCGACGCACTCAAGTGTGTCGTGTTATGGTCTTAAATTTTCAATAATTTTCCATCAACGACCGTCGAAACATCTGCGAAGATTCTGAAATACGGATGTGGAAGAGTCGTTATTTTGCAAGGCCAAGTCACCAGATCATAGTGTTAATTGTCTCTCTTATTTTAATTTGTTGAAGGTTCAATTATTCGACCAGATGTTTATATTTTACCTTATGATGCGGATTTATGTTGATACTGAAATATTTCATCTTGAGCGTCATTCCACTAAACGACATCCATTATGTTGCATACCATTTGGTTCAGGTCCACGCAATCGTGTTGGGATGAGATTTGCATTAATTGAAATGAAAATATTATTAACAAGATTGTTGAAACAATACACAATTGTTCACAAATCACCTATTGGAAAAATCTAGATATATTCCGTCTGTAATCGGGCGATGCACGACCAGTTCTCATTTAGATTACTACTATCAAAAAAAATAGAAGGCGAGTGGGGGGAATGCTTATAACTTTTTGACGAAAAACGATAGAGACCTGCGATTTTCAGTTTCTGAGGGTGAGGGTGAGCAGTCTGCGAGTGTGTAAAAATAAAGCGCAGGAACACGCGTGTAAAGCCTTTGTTTCCATGACAACGTGCGTTTCCTGCGCTTTATTTTTACACACTTGCAGTTTCTTGAGCGTTATTATTCGAAACTCGATAAATCTGTAAAAGTTTTCGTAAACAGAGTTTCCTGCGCTTTTCTGGAATGACTGTAACTGACTGGGTGAGCAAAGGTCGAGAAGTAAAAATGCACAAAAGTAAGAAATGTACGTAAAAGGTTGATGTCATCATAGTTGTAAGTGTCCTTGATATAAGCTCGCTTTGCTGTTGATGGCTTGCAAGATGTAGGGCGGATCAGTTCGGTCCTATTCGACGTACAGAGGATTGGGGCTCAGCCATTCTGCCTCATTCACAGGATACCCGAATGACTTTAGCAAGGAATTGATCTTAGCCATAATATCCACGGATACACATTTTCTGAAAGTTCAAGCGTGAATGTTTTCTTCACATACGGCAAATGTTATCTTAACGGTAAAACCCACAGATGAACCAGAAGAAATCCGCGTTATACTCACTTTTATTTTGAGATACACTGCAGTCACATGTCGAACTGAGAAAAAAAATTAGAGAAATCTTAGACTGAATATTTTCAAAACTCAAAAGTAAAAGGTAGCTTAGAGTAAAGAAAAACTCAAATTGCCTTGTGCTGCTTTTAATGTATAATGTTCTCGAAGAAAAGTCCGAGTAAAACATAGCGCATCAGTTAAAGAATGGGATACTAGAACGAGTTACATTTCTCCTTAGCACCCTTCTCTTATTTCGGAATTAAAGCAAAGGGAAGAAAGAAGTTTTTCGTGAGCCGCGTGAATGACTGGCATGAAAGATTTTTCTGTGGTTTCATCCTCATTTCTTATAAGAAAAGGTCTTGTAAATAAATTGCTGATAAAATATTTCAAAAGAATTATTTGCGCCTTCGTCTGTTCTCCAGCTGTTTATGTGGAAGACATTTTGACTATAGTAGCACAAAAGAACATCTTCGTTTTTTCGTGAAAAAATTCAAACCTTTTGAGCGCTGTATGGAAAACGAGAGCCCTAGTTTGTACCAATGAAATGTATGACATACCTCTCACGACTGTTGTATTCTCTATCTTTTCTCTTTTCTTTGCTTAAAAACCTTATTGTCTTCATCGTGTGTTTTTATCAAACAATATATAGAACTTTGCAGTTTTCTTCATGTTATAAACAGTCAGAATGATGTAATGGGTTCGCCTTTTTCTTTTCACTGTTTATTATACCATTGTTATATTCTCTCTATTCTACTAATAAAGCTTATACTAACTCGGCTTGCTCTATTCAACGATGTATAAAAAAGACAAAAATAAAATAGTGCTCAAACTTTGAATTACTGAGACCTTATTACCGTCTCATTTTCCGCATTTGAAAAATGCGGGGTGGTTATCTGTTTTAGTGCGCTCATACTTATGCGTGAGTTTTTCATTCGTATCGTTTTGTGCAGTGGAAACATAAAGAGGAAAAAGGCTTCTAATTAAGCTAGCGTCCTAGTGAATTCGCCCTGACACAAACCTAATTTTGTAAGCACTGCTGTGACCTTATCTGCATCGTTAACACGTACTTTTCCTATTCCCAAAACTTATACTATAATATTCCCAACTACTTGTTATGCTTCTTGTGTGATTATATTACATTCTTGATGTGCAATAAGTAACGTGTGAAAAATTTTCCTTGTCTCTTTGAAATAGTATACCTATAATAACAACTTAACAAGTATGACAGAGCACCTTCTTTTCACATAATTGTTCTTTTTATTAGCGAAGAAAAGAAAAGAGAATGAAAGCAGATAAGAAATGGAAGAATTCGCGAGTATTGCGATTAACTTTCGAGCAATGCTGTAGTAGAGAACAAAAAGACACTCACCTTTCAC